GGTTTTCTTTTAGGTAAATGTCCATTTCTTTTAGGTTTTCAAATTTAGTAGCGTATAGGTCTTTAAAGTTTTCCCTTATAATATTCTGTATCTTTCTGGTGTGTGTTGTGATGTTTCCCCTTTCATCTCTGATTTTGTTGATTTGGAGGTGTGCTTTCTTTCTTTTGGTCAACTGGGCTAGTGGTCTGTCAATCTTGTTTATCTCTTGGATTTGCTAATTCTTTGTATTGTTTTCTTTGTTTCAATTTCATTAATTTCTGCCCTGATTTTTGTTATTTCTTCTGGTCTGCTGGGTTTGGGTTTCGTTTGCTGTTGCTTATCAAGTGTGTTGAGTTGCAATGCTAACTCATTTATTTGTGTTCTTTCCGATTTTTTGTTGTAGGCACTTAGAGCTATAAACTTCCCTCTAAGGACAGCTTTCAGTGTGTCCCAGAGGACATTTAGTTCCAGCAATACTTTTATTTCTTTCTTAATTTCTCTTTTGACCCATTCATCATTCAGGAGTGGATTGTTTAATCTCACGTGTTCATGTGGTGATTAGGGCTTCTTCTGGCATTGATTGTAAGTTTATTACACTGTGGTCTGATAGAATGCATGACATTATTTCAATCTTTTTGTATTTGTTGAGTTTTGTTTTGTACCCCAGTGTATAGCTGATTTTTTAGAAGGTTCCATGGGGTGCTGAGTAGAAATTAAGTCCTTTGGTGCTTGGGTGAAATACTCAGTAAATGTCTGTTAAGTCCATTTGATATGTGGTATTGCTTAATTCAGATGTCTCTCTGTTAACTCTCTGCCCTGTTGACCTATCTAATGGAGACAGAGGGGTATTGAACTCCCCTGCTATTGATGAGTTGGGATTAATCTGGGTCTTAAAGTCCTGTAGTATTGTTTTTACGAAGTCGGGTGCACCAGAGTTTGGTGAATATATGTTCATGATTGTAACATCTTCTTGATTTATTTTCCTTGGATTGGAATGAAGTGGCCCTATTTATCTCTTCTGATTAGCTTTAAAGTCTATTTTGTCAGATATTAGAACTGCTCTACCTGCTTTTTTCTTGGTACCATTTTTGATATATTATTTTCCATCCTTTCACTTTTTAATTGTATTTTGTTATACAAGGCATTGTCCCATAAGGTACTCTCCACAGGCCATCAGCTAGCTGAGTTTGTAGTTATGTAACTTTCTAGTCAAACACATGGGTTATTTGTAATCACTGCAAACATGATAAGAAGCAAGTCATGAGCTGCAATGTCTCCCCCCCACCTCCTCATTTACACACATAGATATTGTAAAGAGGATGAGCTATCCAGCAACATGAGACATATTGAGGGTCTACAACTCAGAGAGACTAGCAGTTCTCATTGGGATTTGACTTCTGTTTAACTATGGGAAGACGGAGACTGTTATCCACTTATAATAAGTGATAGTCAGAAATATTATCATTATGGGAAGCTACATACATACAGTGTATTGGGGAGAATAACAACCCCCAGTGTCCACAGATCCCCTCAAGCCTGTGAGTATACTACATTCCATGGCAAAGACATGTGGAGGTAGGAATAATAGCATGGACTTCAAGAGGGGGAGATGAAAGCTGAACATGTGTATGCAATAGTAATCCCAGCACATTTGAAGGTGGAGGTGTGCACTGAAAAGTCAGCTGTAATCCTAATGGGTTTTCCTTTATATGTGATTCTTTGTTTCTCTTTTCCAGCTTTCAGTG